GGGGAAAAGCATTGAGAAGCATTGAGTGCAACAAACAGGCATCCCACCACACAGCAAAAATCACAGCCCCCTACAAGAAACCAGACCACATTTCAAGAACAGCCATCCATCCAAACAACCCAAAACCAGACCATGACTCAGACTTTCTGATGATATTCAATATATAATTGCTTATAATTCCAAAATCTTTTTCACATGTATTATCTACCTGGGTTTTTGATTTCTGTTTTCTAAATGAAACATTTGCATTTGTTTCTATTAAATTTCATTCTGGGTTTTTTTCTTCATTCAACTTCTCTAATGTTTTCAAAATCATTATGATTTTATTTCTAATTTCTAGAATATAATTGCCAATTGTGAAACACCTGCAATTGGATAATCATTGCTAGCACCTATTAATTCACATAATGAATAAAGATGATAAAATTTAGAATGATTTGGAAGCCAATTCTGGATTCATCAAATAGATACACTCTTGTGATAGGATTTTTTGCTAAGTATTTGCCTATTACACTTCCAAAATCTACTAAGGAATTATATAATATTAAGAATAACAGAGATTAGTTTAAGAGGAGTTGTTCTTAATGATTCCATACTGGTTTCTTGTCATGTTTGCATTGTCTTTAAGTTATTAACTACTGATTATTTTGCAACTTGTTCTAAACTATTTCTAGCTGACTTTTTTGTAGTTCTATGAAGTCTTCCCTATCCTTTATCTTGACAACAATCATGAAATATTAGCCTTCTCCATTCCTTTCTCCAGGATTTTTCAGAGTCAAGAGACATTGAGTCATGCTATGGTTTACAGAATTGGTCTGGCCTACAAGATCATCCCTGAAGAAGCTACTTCTAGTTCCCCACTGTAAGCAGCAGTGCCAGTTCTGTGATAGAGTTTTTCAGTAGAAATCAGAATGATCATATTTGGGAGGATGTAGAAAACTGAATTGTTCCACAAAGCATTCTATTCTGACTTACCATATTTTATTTGTTTTTTTAAATAAAAGTTTGATTTATCTGATTTTTTTGTGTTTGTGTGTGTGTATGATTATGTTGGTTTCTGTTGTAATTATTTTATTTTAATATTTATCATGAATGGTTTACAGTTTATATATGTAAACTCTCAAGAATTTTACTTGGATAGTGGCATGATACAATTGGAATCAATCAATCAGTTTGACCTGGAGATTCAGTTTCTGCCTTTTCCTTTCAGGAAAATAGATTCTTTAACCTGCTCTTCTGAATTACCCAGTGAAATAAATATCCTCTTCTCTGAAAATTCTGAGCCAAAACAGGAGTTGAGAAAATGTTTTTCCTTTATCTTCTTTCATGCCTGTTCTTTCTTTACTACCTTTATTGAACAATTAATATACAGGTTTTTTTCCCTCTGCAATTCATCTTGAATGTATTATTTTAGAACTAATTCTTATGCTTTGGTCATATCCATTAGTCATTCCTTTCAGGTTAGTGATTAGTACAGGGATCATCCAATGCAGATGAGAGCCCTACATAGAAAAAGAGATGCCAAATGTTCAAGCAGGGTTTAGAAAAGGCTGAGGAACATGAGACATTATAGCTGATGCATGATGGATAATAGAGAAAAAAAATACTAAGACATCAATATATGTTTCTTTTATCATAGAATGGCTTTTAATTTTGTCAATCACATTAAGCTGTTGAATAAGCTTACAAAAATGGGAATCCCAGAATATCTCACTGTTCTTATGAAAAGCTTATATACTAGCAAAGAAGGGTCAACATGAACAGAACAGGCTGGCTCCAGGATGGCAAAGGAGTGCAACAAGGCTATACAGTATACGCTCCCTTATTTATTCAATCTATATGCTGTATATACTATATTGTATATTAAGGGAAACTGATTTGGAAGATCTCCATGGTTGTACAATTGGAGAACAAACATCAAGAATCTGGGCCCGACTGATGACACTATCCTAATAGCTGAAAATGCAGAGGATCTGCAAGCTCTAATAATAAAAGACACGGAGTACAATGAGAAAAAAACGAGACTAAAATAACATATAAAGAAGACCAAATGAATAGAAGAAAGATAGAAGAACCAGCCTTAGAACTGATAATGAAGGCATTGAAGTGTTAGACAGCTTACGTCTTTTAGGATCAACCATCAACAGTACAGGAACAAGCAATAAGAAATCAGCCACAGATTAGTACTTAGTAGAGCAGCCATGAAGGCCTTGGAAAAGTTATTCAAATGCTATGATATGTCTATGTCTATAAATATCAGAATTGTGCAAGATATGATATTTCCTGTGACACTTTATGGAAATGAAAGTTGGGTTTTGAAGAAGCAGGATAAGAAGAGTATTGATGCTTTTGAACTTTAGTATTGGAGAAGACTCCTGAGAATGCCATGGGCAGCCAAGAAAACAAATCGATCGTTCATTGGACCATTAAACCCAGAGTTCTCACTTGAGGACAAATAACCAGGCTAAAGGTATCCTACTTTGAACACTTTATGCAGACTCTGCTCTACGGTGAAGGTTCTAATGTTGGGAAAAGTGGAAGGAACTAGAACAAGGCCAGCAGCAATCTTCCAGTTACATTGGAACATCAGATTAGGGACAGAATGTCATGGAGAAAATCAGTGATTAGATTAAATTGGATTAGAGTATGTTAGAAAGAAGGAATTGAAAAAAAAAAGTCTGTTTCCAAAAGGAAAGGAAGAAATCAAGAAAAAAGTTAAGGAAATGATTGGTCCATTAGTGGGGGAAAATGGCAAGAAGGTGACAAGAAACAGGGAGAAAGCAGAACTATTTAACTCGGTTTTTGCATCTGTCTTTACACAAAGAGAAAAAACAGCCCAACCTATCAAAAACAGTACCATAAAAACAGATTAGAAACACAAGATAAGATAGGCAAGAAAATGGTAAGTGAGCACCTGTCCAGTTCAAAACACCAGGACCAGATGGATTACATCCCAAGATTCTCAAGGGATTTGCAGATGTGATTTCAGAACCACTGAACTATATTTTTCAAAGATCCTGGAGCATTGAGGAACTACCAGAGGACTGGAAAAGAGCTGATGTAGTTCCCATCTTCAGAAAAGGAAAAAAAAAATGGATCCAGGAAATTACAGACTTATCAGCCTGACCTCAATACCTGGGAGGATTCTGGAAAAGATAATCAAACAACGAATCAGCGAACACCTAGAGGCAAACAAAGTCATTACTAACAGCCAACATGCGTTTGTCAAAAACAGATCATGCCAGACAAATCTTATTGCATTCTTTGACCAAGTGACAAAATTAGTGGACCAGAGAAATGCTGTGGATATAATTTACTTGGACTTCAGTGAGGCATTTGATAAAGTAGATCACCACCTACTACTTGATAAGATAGAAAAATGTGGGTTAGACAGCATCACCACCAGATGGATTCGTAGCTGTCTGACCGGCTATAATGAGTGTGTTGTCCTCAATGGAACTGCATCTACATGGAGGGAAGTGTGTAGTAGGGTGCCCCAGGGCTGTTCTGGGCCCAGTGCTCTTCAACATCTTCATCAACGATTTGGACGAGGGAATAGATGGGGAACTCATAAAATTTGCAGACAATACCAAGCTGGCAGGAATAGCCAACACTCCAGAAGATAGGCTTAAGATACAGGAGAATCTGAACAGACTTGAACACTGGGCACTATCTAACAAAATGAAATTCAATGGTGAAAAAAGTAAGGTTCTACATTTAGGCAAGAAAAACCAAATGTACAAGTATAGTAGAGGTCAGGGGTCGGCAACATTAAACACTCAAAGAGCCACTAGGACCCGTTTCTCACAGAAAAGAAAAGATTGGGAACCACAAAACCTTTTTGACATCTAAAATAAAGATAACACTGCATATATCCTTTTTTACCTTTATGTGATGTATGAAAAAACTATGGTGTGTTGCATTTATGAAATCAATGAACTGCTACAAAGAAAACACATTTTTATGCCGGAGAAAGAGGGAAAAAAAAACTTTCTCCTTCATCCCAATAGGTGAAAATAATTTTGTAGCTTATCTACCATCTTTAAATACACCATAATTATCCCCATACCTCATCTCTTAATTAAAAAAATTCAAAATATTTCATTAAATGTTCTTTACTAAAAGTCCAGTAAGGACAACATATATTCATATTCTCTCTCTCTCCCTCTCCCTCTCTCTCTCTCTTTCTTTTCTTCTCTCCCTCCCTCTCTCTCTCTCTCTCTCTCTCTCTTTCTCTTTCTCTCTTTTTTTCTCTCTCTTTCTCTCTCTCTCTCTCTTTCTCCCTCTCTTTCCTCTCTCTCTCTCTCTCTCTCTCTCTCTCTTTCCTCTTCCTGTCTCTCTTTTTCTCTCTCTTTCCTCCTTTCTTTCTCTCTCTCTTTCCTCTTCCTCTCTCTCTCTTTCTCTCTCTCTTTCCTCCCCCTTTCTTTCTCTCTCTCTTTCCTCTTCCTCTCTCTCTCTTTCTCTCTCTCTTTCCTCCCCCTTTCTTTCTCTCTCTCTTTCCTCCCCCTCTCTTTCTCTCTCTCTTTCGTCTCTCTCTCTCTCTCTCTTTCTCTCCCCCCTCCCTCTCTCTTTCTCTCTTTCCTCTCCCTCTCTCTCTCTTTCTTTCTCTCTCTTTCTCTTTCTCTCTTTCTCTCTCTCCCCCCTCTCTCTTTCTCCTTCTCTTTCCACTCCCCCTCCCTCTTTCTCTCTCTCTCTTTCCTCTCCCTCGCTCTCTTTCTCTCCCTCTCTCTTTCTTCTCCCTCTCTCTCTTTCTCTCCCTCTCTCTTTCTCTCTTTCTCTTTCCTCTCTCTCTCTCTCTTTCCTCTCTCTCTCTTTATCATCTCATAGATGGATTTATCCTTACATATATCTTAGTGCAATATAAATGAAATAAGCTAAAAAAGAAGTAACAACAGCAAGAAAAAGGAATCCAGCGTTGACACGAAACGTAAAAAAGATTCACTGCTGCAAGGGATTGGAAACACCCGATTCTCCGTCTCGCCCCCTGCCGCGCGCCTTACCGTGGCGTCCTGCCCTGCGAAGCTTGCGATGGTCCGAGAACCCCCTGGGTGCCTCCTGTAGAAGCGGCTGACGTCATAGACTTTCCTGTCGATCACCAGCCAGCGCTCCTGTGGCGGGTCTCCCTGGCCAGTGCGCAGCCCGATCTCGTCCCAGGTAAACCACCGCGAAGGGCCGGACAGATCGGCCGCGGGATCAGCCTCCCTCCTCTGCCTGACCCCGGTTTCTCCTTGCTGGGAAGCCATCTCCCCCCCGACTGAGGCTTCGGGGAACCTGGCACTGTCCTTTTCAGCACCACCGGGAGGGCGGACTGGGCGGGTCCTGGCAAGGGAGATTCCCCCCTTCTCAGTCTCTGATTGGCCGACAGAGTTTCACTGGCGCAGCTCTCGTGGAGAACAAACGGCGGAGAGGGAGGTGCCGCAAAAGCCAAGTCGGCCGAGCCTGGGAGGTTCGGAATTTCGAGTACGAAAGAGGAGGTGGCGGCTGGCAGCTTTTTTTGCAGTAAGCGGAGCAAACTCCTTTTATTGGTTTCATAGAAATCCCATTTCTTCGCAAGCAAAACGATAAGAATTAAAGTCCCTTCGGTTGATTTCAGTAAACTGGGAAACAAGTTTTGGAGTCTCTCTGTGGAGCCTCTATTTTGACTGATTTCACCAAGAAGCAAGATCTCCCCGTTTCTTTAGCCCCGCAGTCACGGGAGGAAATTCAATCACATGCCAGCCTGCGATTCAGTTTGAAGCTCTTCCCGAATGTCATTGTGCTTACTTTGCATGTTCGCACCACGGATGGAGGATGCGCACACACCTTAGAAAAGTTTGGGACGGAGAAGAGGGACAGAAATCCTCCTGCAGTCCAGATCCATGGGGGAAAGGGTGTCTGTAAAGCTTGACTTCCCCAACTGGTAGTGATGGGGCTGAAATCAGTTGTGCCAGTATTGGTTCATTTTGGAGAATAGGCTGACTTGTGATTCAAAAGATTCAGAGTTGGTTCTTCTCTTTCTGCCTCCTCCTCATCCCTGGAATGTCACAGGTTGAGAATTTCTACCTGCAGCAGAAAAAGGAGAGTGGCACAATCTGAAAAAAGCTTTTCATTTGTCAAAGCATTACAGTGACAAATCTCACGTCCTACTGGTAGTGTTAGTCTGTCATGGGGAACTGGGCGGGAGTGGATCACTAATAAATGGATTGAACTTAATAGCTTTGTTTTGTTAGTTGCGAAGTCCGACCCATTGCGACCCCATGGACAACGTTCCTCCAGGTCTTCCTGTCCGCTACCATCTTCTGGAGCCCATTTAAGCTCATGCCTACTGCTTCAGTGACTCCATCCAGCCACCTCATTCTCTGTCGTCCCCTTCTTCTATTGCCCTCAATCTTTCCCAGCATTAGGCTCTTCTCCAGCGAGTCCTTCCTTCTCATTAGGTGGCCAAGGTACTTGAGTTTCAACTTCAGGATCTGGCCTTTTAAAGAGCAGTTGGGGTTGATCTCTTCTAGGACTGACCGGTCTGAACGCCTTGCAGTTCAAGGGACTCGCAGGAGTCTTCTCCAGCACCATATTCAAAGACCTCAACTCTTTGGCACTCAGCCTTTTTTATGGTCCAACTTTCACAGCCATACATTGCAACTGGAAAAACCTTAATAGCTTTACACATTCCAAACAGATTTTTAATCACATTATACAAGGAAGATGCTTTTTTTTTTTGGTGCCATTCAAATCCCGGTGCCTAACTGGACAAATTTTATTGGCAATATTTCAGAAATGATTTCCCATTGCTTGTTTCCTAGCACTGGGGTAGAGTGACTGTCCCAAGGTTACTCAGTTGGCTTTGTACCTAAGGCAGAACTAGAACTCAAAGTCTCCTGGTTTCTAGTCTGGTGTCTTAACTGTTACACCAAACTGGATCTACACTAAATGGGTGCCTTAACTATTATACCAGACCTATACCAAACTATTCATAGTGAATAACTTACACTATGAAATAATCTCAGTTGAAAAAAACAGCACGTTAGTTATTTGAGAAGGACAAAGTAGCCTTTCTATGGTATTATTGCTTTGGATCAAGTCAGTTTGGAGAAAACATTTTTTAAAAGCATTTGCAGAATTGCAAAAGTGCCTTAGAGTGGAGTGGTTTTTTGTTTTTGTTATTCTATTTGAGAATTAAATATTTGGTGAATGGGATATTGCAGGATGTTGATACAAGTAATTATGTACAGAATATATGGAATGATAAACTTGACTATTTTGTCTTGGTAAATCAAAGGAAAGTCAATAAATAATTTGAAATTTGTTTCATATGTTCTTAAAATGAAGTCAGTACAATTACTTTCAGTGGTGGGATTTAAATATTTGAACAACTGGTTCTCTGTGTGGATGCTGCTTCTGGAAGTCCATTTTGGGCCTGGGCAACAAAAAAATTAGCTACCGGTTCTACTGAAGTGATGTGAAATGGCAGAATCCTACCACTGATTACATCTGTCAATGCTTCATGTATGCTGGACACCTTAAAATATTTTATACAGAAGGTTATAATTGTCTTGCAACTAAGACAATTGGAGATGCAACAAAAAAATAAAATAAAATATCATCCCATATGTTCTATTGTCATCACTTTGGGCTGACATCAGAAGGACTGTTAACATGAATTTGGTTCAATTGCTGCATATTAAAGATTCATACATTGTTTTTAAGAACATCTCAATCATATGGAATCTATTAAGATCCTGGAACACTGGGAAACTACCAGAGGACTGGAAAAGAGCTGATGTAGTTCCCACCTTCAAAAAAGGAAAAAAATGGATCCAAGAAATTACAGACCTATCAGCCTGACCTCAGTACCTGGGAGGATTCTGGAAAAGATAATCAAACAACGAATCAGCAAACACCTAGAGCAGGGGTCGGCAACCTGAAAAAGTGAAAGAGCTACTTTGACCCGTTTCCCTCAGAAAAGAAAAAACTGGGAGCCGCAAAATGTGTGCGTGCGTGTTTGCGTGCACGTGCACGCGTGCGTGCAGGTGCGGAACAGGGAACTTGATTGAAGAGGCTGGATCAGCTTCATTTTCTTCCCTCCGAGGCCAGAACCCCCTAAGCCCCTCCCCGCCTTGATCCAGAAAGATTTGTGCCTTACCCAAACCCCGAATCAGTCCCTTCCAGCGCGTTACCAAGCTTCCCGTCCCTCCTGTTTCCCTGGCAGTTACTGTGTTTAAATTTGCTTTTTCTTGGGTGGCTACAGAGCTTCCTTCGTTTTCTTTCCTTCCTATCCCTCTTCTACCCCCTCCCCCCACCTTCCCTTCAATGCCTTTGCGCTGCGGTGTATCATCCTCTCCCATACATGTTAAATTTTTAAAGTATGGGCAGCTCTGCCGTCCTGGCTTCTCCCCTCAGAAAAGACTGCTCTCTCTCCACCCTGCGCTCTCCCTCTCTGGAACTTTCTTTCTTCTTTCCTCCTTTTGGCGTGAAGGTTCCCAGGGAGCAAAGGAGGAGGCCGATGGGGAGAAGGAGCTGCTGTAGCAAATCTTCCGAGGCAGCAGTAGACGGCTGCTCGGGCTCACCTATCAGCCTGACGTGGCTGCCCGTTCGCCGCCCCAGCTGGGACTGCTGCCCGGCCTGGCGAGACAAGTGGCCGGCTCAGCTTCCCAGGGAGTGATGCCCCTGCCAGCCACCACCGCAGCCATGACTGCCGCCTGGCCCGGCCTGGGGAGACACGTAGCCGGCTCAGCTGCCCAGGGAATGATGCCCGCGCCAGCCACCGCCCCAGCCGTGACTGCCGCCTGGCCCTGCCTGGAGAGATACGTAGCCGGCTCGGCTGCCCAGGGTGCGATGCCCCCGCCAGCTACCGCCCCAGCCGTGACTGCTGCCCAGCCCAGCCTGGGGAGACACGTAGCTGGCTCAGCTGCCCAGGGAGTGATGCCCCTGCCGGCTGCCACCCCTGCCAGGACTGCCACCTGGACCAGCTCGGGGGACACGCGTGGCTGGCTCGGCTGCCCAGGGATGGCCCAGGGAGTGATGCCCCCACCAGCCACCACCCCCACGGGGACTGCTGTCCAGACTGGCTCGGGGAGATGTGTGGCTGGCTCGGCTGCCCAGGGAGCGATGCTGGCACAGGTCACCGCCCCAGCCTGGACTGCCATCCGGGGGTCAGCAGGAGGAAGAAGGGGAGGAGGAGAGCGAGGAAGCTGCTGCCGCCGGGACTCCGTGCTGCCCAGCCTCACCCTCCACTCATCTGATGTAGCCAGGGTGGGCCGTGGTGGGGGTTGGTGCCACGTGGGCCGCTGGCCCTGGCCATGATGCTGTGGCTGCTCTGCCTAACTGGCCCCTGCCAGTCCCTCTGCCGGCCTGGCTGCTCCCTCCCGGGCACCTCTCTTGCCCAGGCACCTGAGAGCCAGCAGGAGGAAGAAGGGGAGGAGGAGGGTTGAGGAAGCTGCTGCCGCTGCCCTAGCTGGGACTCCGCACTGCCCAGCTTCACCTTCTGCCCATCTGATGTAGCTATGGCAAGCCGCGGTGGGGGCTGGTGCCGGTTGGTGCCGGTGGGGCCAACAGTTGTGCTGGCTGTAGATTGCAGAGGCTGCTCTCTCTTGGGCCGTGGCTTGCGGGAGGGCTGGCCCGCTCCCAGTGGGGATCCCGGGGCTTCCCCATGCGGCTCCACGGCCATGTGCGCCTTGGACGAGGCCAGCCCGGGAAAGGGAATTCCTGGCACGCTTCTCCCACGGGGTGGGGCATCCGGGCACTCCGGAGCCACAGGTGATGTCTAAAACAGCTGCATGCGGCTCTGGAGCTGCGGGTTGCCAACCTGTGACCTAGAGGCAAACAAAGTCATTACTAAAAGCCAACATGGGTTTGTCAAAAACAGATCATGCCAGACAAATCTTATTGCATTCTTTGACCAAGTGACAAAATTAGTGACTAGGGTGACATGATAGCAGTGTTTCAATATCTCAGGGGTTGCCACAAAGATGAGAAAGTCAAGCTATTCTCCAAAGCACCTAAAGGCAGGACAAGAAGCAACGGATGGAAACTAATCAAGGAGAGGAGCAACCTAGAACTAAGGAGAAACTTCCTGACAGAACAATTAACCAGTGGAACAACCTGCCTCCAGAAGCTGTGAATGCTCCAACACTGGAAGTTTTTAAAAAGAGACTGTCCGAAATGATAGGGATTCCTGCCTGAGCAGGGGGTTAGACTAGATGACCTCCAAGGTCCCTTCCAACTGTATTATTATTATTATTATTATTTGGAACTTTAAAAAGTGTCACGAGCAGCATCACAAAGCAAATGTTATGTAAAGATAAACAAAATGACAAGAAACTGAATATAAGGCATTTTGG